GATGACACTTCCAAAGTAGGTAAAGGAGTCCACTTCTTCCAAGGGAGTGTCTTCCACTGTCACAGCAGGGCTTGAAACCTTTCCTAGCTTCACTATTTTTGACTTGCCTGGATGTATACGCAAGCCAACACTCCTTGATAGGCTGTTGAGTTCCTTGGTCTTTTGTTGCATCTGAGCATGTGAGTGAGAGAGCAGTGCAAGGTCATCCGCGAAGTCCAAGTCGTCCAGCTCCTGCCAAGGGATCCACTGTATTCCATTACGCTTGCCTCTGGTGGCTTCTTTCATGACCCAGTCAATTGCCAATATGAAGAGAAAAGGTGAGAGCAAGCATTCCTGTTGCACTCCTGTCTGTACCTGGAATGGTTCTGAGAGTTGTCCTTCGTGGAAGACTTGGCAGTGTGTTCCATCATGGGTGGCCTTCACAAGCTTGACGATTTTGTTAAGACTGAGTTATATAAAACAGGAAATAATGGGGGCAGGAAGGAGGGGGGGATGGCTTCTCTGCCTTTGAATATTCATCATCATTATGTTTTTCGCTAACGCTATCAGTCCAGAGGTTGACTTTACAGACAAGTTTCCTTTCAGTCTCGTGGGAATGACTTCAGGACTTGAGCCTACAGGTTACAGGCAAAGATTTACTCAAACTGACAGTCGCTCAGCACAGGCGTGGTTCTAAATAATATTAATTATTGAAAGTCCATGTTTCCAAATTTTAGAGTGCAGCAGAAATTTTCGTCAACCATTAAGTCAATGTTTGAAATATATTCTGCGTCATGACTTGATGTGATTAAAAACAGTCAATCAAACGGGTACTACACACTGTGTAAGCCTGAAATGCAATAGGCTCTTATGGAAATAGACACTTCCAGGTCAAATTGAAAGCAATGAAGAAAGGTAAATAATCAATATAATATGTGATAGCATGAGAGCGCATAGAGGCCAGCACTGTCACTTTAATGTTATGATCAAAACCATATCAGTAGGGATTTGATAAAAATTTGGGCACTGAACACAGGACATTGCTTCATTAAAAATTTGGTGAATAATATCGCCAATTGTGACCGTGTGGGAATTCCGAGAGTTGATCTTCTTCCTTTTTCTTTGCGTTTTCCTGCTAGATCTCGTTAGTTGGTCGCTTTTAAGCACATGTGGGCTACTCCAAAAAAATATTCTTTTGAGAAAATCGAAGGTAAAGTTTTTGCCCCTTTTTGATTTTTTTAAAAAGATAATGGAGAGTCCAAACAAATAAACACATCAATGAAACCAAACTTCTGCTATATGTAGGGCAATGCCCACTTTTGGTGTAGGTCAAGATTTCTGGAAAACCCCAAAGTCTGGCTTAGCTCACTTGTCCTTAAAAGTGAACCGTTGACTGCTGGTTTTTCAACCTGCAGTGCAACTCATATAATTTTCATGTAGGCCTATGGTGACAGGTGACAGTCTTTCCAACTTGAGGGGCCTCCTGCCATCAGCTTAACACCGCTGTATTCCAATTTCGAAGGTTTTCTATATCATTTCTTCTACTGAAGAGCAGGTTCAGTTTTTACTGAACTCAAATTTTGAATTTTGCCCGGGGAGCCGCAGAAGCCTACTCTCATCGATTTTGGGACCACCGAAGGATCTTTAACGTGAGCAACTGGCACACAGGACCTCCAAGATTTTTCGCACTAGGCTAGGAGGTGTTCAATCTACCAACTTAAGATCAACGTGTGGCTGAAAAACAGTTGACTGAAAAGGAGCCAGGAGTATCAGTAGAAAGAGTCAGAGGAGTAAAGAGCAGTAGATCACAGAGAAGGGAGAGCGGGGGTGGGGTTTTAAAGTGCTGACCGGATGGAAAGAAAGGCAGACGACAGGGAGAGAAAGAGAGAGAAGGTGGAGGGAGAGAGACAGACAGACACAGAGAAAAAAAAGAGAGAGAATGGGGGGGGTTGCGGGGGGGGGGGTGGAGCATGAGAGAAGGAAAGAGAAAGGGGAGAGAGAGAGAGACAGAAGACAGACAGCCAGAAAGAGAGAGAGAGAGTTTGTTATTATAATAATAAGAATAATTGATTCCTGTCATTTTCTCTGCGTTGTTTCCCAGGCTGCCCCGGTGCAATACAGTCATTTTTGTACACATTTTAAGACCAGCCCCATCTTCCAAATCCCACCTTCTGGTTCCCATGTACCATATATCCAATTTCCATATATCCATATATCCCAACTTTAATTTTGTAAGGGTGCTTTGTTTTCCTTCTCATAGAATAGAATGCTTGAAGCTGGCCAAAATATTAAATATACGTCACTGTCGTCACTGACTAAAACTGGCTTACTTAAACCGCCAGTGGACGCTCCCCCTAAACGAAGCTTTAGTGCCGTGAACGTAGCCTTAAAAAATTCGAAGTGACATATTTCTCCGAACACTCAGGAAAATAAACTTGAGTCTTGATCTTTATTTCTCTAAACAGTTTCCGTTCTCGAGATTTTTTGGTCTGTTTACGAGAGTTCACGTCATCTTTCATTTTGCAAAGACTGGGAAGAAGCATTTTTTTTGCATTGAATTTAGTTTCAGGAGCTAGAGATTTTTAGATGTCTGAATATTCAGATAGATCTACTTCAAATGTGGTTGGGGCAACGTTCTCGGACAATACTTCATTTGAAAATAAATGCCTTCAAATTCAACAACAAAAAGTACAGAAAAGTGGGAAGACATGGAAAAACATCAAGAGGCATCAGGAGGAAGGTGTTTGTCCGTGGCCTATACCCTGGTGCAGGGTGAGAAAGGCAATGATGATGATGATGACATGACGAAAAACGCAATGGCTATGTTCATGGTGCCCTGAATGCAGTTTGCAGGCGCTGTTGAGGCTACATTCACGGCACTAAAGCTTCGTTTAGGGGGAGCGCCCACTGCCGGTTTTAAGTCAGCCGGTTTTAGTCAGTGACGACAGTGACATATTTAATATTTTGGCCAGCTTCAAGTGTTCCTCCATCCCATGAGACGAAGGAAAACAAAGAATCAAAGTCGGGATATGGGATGAGGAAAATTGGATACAGCACCTGGGAAACAAGGGGTGAGAGATTGGAAACAGAAGGTGGGATTCGGAAGATGAGACAGGGCATAAAATGTGTACAATAATCACAGTTTTGCACTGGGTTAGCCTGGGAACCGACGCAGAAGAGAGAAAATGACGGGAATCAATTATTCTTAATAAAAATATAACAAACACCCTATCTCTCTCTTTCTGTCTGTCTCTCTCACTCCCCTTTCTCTTTCCTTTCTCTATCTCCCCCCCCCTCCTGTAGCTCTATTTTTTCTC